TATCGATTTCATCGATTTTTTTTGCAGAGTTCACCTACGGGGCTGGGAGTTGGCACAGGGGGGGTAATCGAGCATGGGGATTCCGAATACACAATCAGTTTTCGGCATTATCGATTACTTTTATCGATTTCATCGATTTTTTTGCAAAGTTTGAGCTACGAGGCTGGGAGTTAGCAAAGGGGAGTAATCAAGCATGGGGATTACAATACAATATTAGTTTTCGGTATTATCGATTACTTTTATCAATTTTATCGATTTTTTGCAAAGTTTGAGCTACGGGGCTGGGAGTTAGCAGAGGGGGGTAATCAAGCATGGGGATTCCGAATACAATATTAGTTTTCAGGATTATTGATTACTTTTATCGATTTTATCGATTTTTTTGCAGAGTTCACCTATGGGGCTGGGAGTTGCCACAGGGGAGTAATCGAGCATGGGGATTACAATACAATATTAGTTTTCAGGATTATCGGTTACCTTTATCGATTTTATCGATTTTTTTGCAAAGTTTGAGCTACGAGGCTCGGAGTTTGCACAGGGGGGTAATCGAGCATTCCGAATACAATATTAGTTTTCAGGATTATCAATTACTTTTATCGATTTTATCGATTTTTTGCAAAGTTTGAGCTACGGGGCTAGGAGTCAGCAGAGGGGGGTAATCAAGCATGGGGATTCCGAATACAATATTAGTTTTCGGTATTATCGATTACTTTTATCGATTTTGTCGATTTTTTGCAAAGTTTGCGCTACGGGGCTGGGAGTTAGCACAAGGGGGTAATCGAGCATGGGGATTCCGAATACAGTATTAGTTTTCAGGATTATCGATTACTTTTATCGATTTCAACGATTTTTTTTGCAGAGTTCACCTACGGGGCTGGGAGTTCGCACAGGGGGGGGGGGTAATCGAGCAGGGGATTTCGAATACACAATCAGTTTTCGGCATTATCGATTACTTTTATCGATTTTTTTGCAAAGTTTGAGCTACGAGGCTGGGAGTTAGCAAAGGGGTAATCGAGCATGGGGATCCCGAATACAATATTACTTTTTGAAATCGTCCATTATTTTTATCGATTTTATCGATTTTTTGCAATGCTTGAGCTACGGGGCTGGGAGTTTGCACAGGGCGGTAATCAAGCATGCTGATTAGAGTTCGATATTAGTTTGGCGCTATTCGGCTACCCGGGCCGCAAAATTTTTTTGTCGTAGAGCTTGCTCAGATTCGTGTATTAGGTTTATCTTACATGCTGATTACAGATATCACACTTTCGTCGCAGAAAGTCTCCCCATGTAGTTACGATATCTGTACGGTAGGAAGTCAAAATCATGAATTCGGCTGGAGTTCGGTCCAGAGAACTTATTCGACATGCTGATTACGAATTTCATACTCTCTCTGCATATTGGGACCTCTTCATAGAGTTAGGGTGGTTATATACGGTGTGGGGTCGAAAACATAGACTTGCTTCAAACATCGTCTAGGGTGGTCATTTAGCGCGCTGAACATAAATATCATGTTGATTTTGCAGGGTGGTGCATTTTCTTGGGTTAGGTGGATGTAGATAGGTCGAAGTTTCAGATTTGCTCAAAACCTTACCTGTAACGGTTCACAAGTATACTGCTTATGAATATGAAACTTGCTCGCTGTCATAACGCATTAGTGAAGTTATGGTGAGTTGCAGGATTTGAATGGACCGGGCAAATTTAGATCCCAGATATTCATGAAATGGGGAAACGGTCGTTTTGCATGGCGGTCTCCAGCGCCATCCTGATAACCTGTCCCAACGTGTAACGCACGCGGCAAATCTCCCTCCTCCCGCCGAAGGGTGTATCGCACGAGGCAAATGTCTCTCCCCCTATTTCTGCTTAGGCAAAAGCCGCCGAAGGGTGTATTGCACGAGGCAAATGTCTATCCCCCTATTTCTGCTTAGGCAAAAACCGCCGAAGGGTGTAACGCGACAAATCTCCCTCCCCCTATTTCTGCTTAGGCAAAAGCCGCCGAAGAGTGTATTGCATGCGGCAGGTCTCCCTCCCCCTATTTCTGCTTAGGCAAAAGCCGCCGAAGGATGTATCGCGCGCGGCAGTGGTCCTATAAGGAAAGCATTACGGTCGTGGGAAACTTTTATACCACACGAATTGCCTTTATCGCGGGGATTGAGCACGATATTCTTTGTACAGCACTTTAGGTAATTCCCTGCCAAGGTTTCAGGCAGGTTTATGATTTTTACCCGCTGCCACGCGATGACTATGATATTGTCATCAGCGGCTCAAATAGCCCCCCATATACCGAGTTTGAGCAAGATCCGTCACAAAAACATTTTGGGGCCCGGATAGCCGAATAATGCCATCAGTTTTTAGAATTATCCTTACTTTTATCGATTTTATTGTTTTTTTTGTGCAAAGTTTGAGCTACGGGGCTGGGGGTTTGGTGAGGAAGGTAGGTGAGCATACTGATTACTCACGCAGCGGGAATAGGGAATGTCTAAGTGGGCACAGGTAAAGGTGTATAGGGATAGAAATGGAACCTTTATCGTTTTTGACAGGGCCAGGTGGAGCCGGGTAAGCCAGCTAGTTGTTAATAAATCTCTGTGTTTTATTTTTCGAGTAAAAGCTCTCGGCGGTTTCGGCCGTAATCGTATCAGAATCTCACATGAGGCGGAACCGGCCGTCTGAGAGCGACAAAAAGAAAAACACAGAAAACGCTTAAAAGCGAGTCCAGAACAGGGACTATTGCAATTCTCGTGCGATTGTCGCGTTGTAAACCGATAAGCGGAGGTTCAAAAACTGTTTTCAGAATTGAACGCGTCAAAAGCCACGAAAGGCAATGATCGAATCGATGGACACGGGAAACCCGAAAAGCAGGTAAGTGCCTGCATAAGAGAGGACGAAATTTTTAGTGAGGTTGAGTCCATGATTGCGAGTATGCCTGAAACGCTTGCTTCAAAACTCGATGAGCACAGAATAGCTTACAAGTTTAGAGACTCACTCGAGAATGAAATAGCGCAATTTGTAGAGACAAAAAGCGCGCTGGCAATTTTGAAGACAAAAATTGGAAAGAAAGGACTGGGGGACAAATTAGGGAAGTCCTCTTGAAGAAGGGAATAGAGTCCGTCGAGGACTTGGAAGAATTTGTATTTATTACAGAGAGAGACAGTTGATTAGTAAGAAAGCTATGCGAACTCTTAGATACCAGTGTTTTTCAGACAAAAGAGAAAGTACAGCAATTGAAGGCACAAGTACCCGGAGAGGGAAAAGGCCCAAATCAAGAGAAGAAAAGTACGAATAAAGGTAAGAGCAGGATGGCTAAAAGCAAAAGAGAAAATTTCGCTTTGCAGAGCGCTCTCGCAGATCTTCCGAACAAGAGGATTGGTACGCTTTACGAACCGCGCTTGAATCCGCATTTCCAGAATTGGGAAGAAAGCGGAAGGGAGTCGGAAGTGGCAGGTCAGAGCCTTCTAACATTTCTAGAGGCTTCAACGTGCGTAGATCCGGGAACTTTTAGAGGGAAAACAAATGAGAATTATGATAAGTTCCTAAGAAGGTTCCGTAGGAAATACGGGAGTGGTCAAAGAGGCAACCTTAAAAGAAATACTAGTAGACGACCACTTAGGGGGGGGGGGGGGAGAGCAAAGAATTTGTACCTAACCCTACCCAGAGATGTAAGGGGATCTACCTTCGAGGTGGTAGTGCAAGAGTTAGGGAAGGCTCTTGCGGTAGACTCTACGGCGGCGAGACTTAGGGCCCTAACGGAAATAAGGAACCTGAGGTTAAAGCCGGAGCAAAGCGTGGTAGACTTTTGCATAGCTAGAAAGACTAGGACGCAAAGCAGACCCGGAGGGGAGTCCCGAAAATAAGTCTATGGAATACGCAATGATCTTGTTAGAAAATCTCAAGCACTGGCCGGAACACCTCCAGGTGCTGAGTGTATTACATAAAACAGGCCCAACAGCTTATGAGAAAATTAAGGAACTGGCCATTAGCATAGAGCAATCCCTGGAAGTGTATGGCAAGGGGAGCTTTAAGCAAGAAAGGGGTTGGAAGGATAGAGCCCGCGACTATACACGAGTGAAAGAATACCAAAGCCGACACCAGTGGGGACAGGCAACACAAGCGTCCTCGGGGAGTAGGGAGGAGAATGTTATGATGCCGCGGAAAGAGGCGGCAGACAAATATGACGGAAAAGAATGGAGAAGTAAAGTAAGTGTAAGAACCTTGCCCGAAAGAACGGAAATGTTAAACCGGAGCCAAGATAAGACAACAGGCAATCGCTACGACATAGAAAAGGCGAACGTAAGGTGTTATAATTGTGCAAGGTATGGGCATTTGGCAAGATCTTGCCCAGAGAAATATAATAGCCGACAGAACCGCGCCATTACACAAATGAAGGAAGTATGACTCCAATCACTTCACTGATCCACCGAGTGAAAGCTATAGGAGTGAGAACAAAATGTAAGGAAGGTCAAAGGACTGGAGTAGTGGGCAAATGAACCCTAATGAAGGCCAAATTGCTAAGAGGCGATGTGGAAGCGCTAATCGACACAGGGTCGATGATCAGCATAATACCGCTCAAGGTGCTAGCCGCAGCGTACGAAAGAGGGTACGATGTGGATTCCTTGGAGCGCATTCGAGAAAATGACATGAACATTGTCTACGATGCTTCTAGCAATGAAATGATATTTTTAGGGAGAGTAAGAGTTCCAACCGCGATACAGGAAGGTAGAGCAGCACAAGTAGCATTCTACGTCTCCGAAGAGGATAGTCTAGAGGTCCTGCTAGGTACCAATGCTTTAGAAAGTTTAGGCATTAGTATAGCAATCCAACCCGAACGCCAGAAACAGGAGGGTCACCCACAAGAGCAGGAGACGGTGGTCAGGGTGGGAAAACGGTTATAGTCCCGCCATATGGAATGAAGTTAGTGACGGCAAATTGCGTCACGGAAAGTGAAGAAAAGTGTATTGTGATCCGAAATAAAGGGAGTGACAAGTGGCGTATACAAAATAACGAATGAAATGATAACCATACCCGTGCTTAACAACGAAGAAGCTCCACTGATTTTGCGTGAAGGTGACGAGCTAGGCGAGCTCACCAAAGAAAGATGGATAGAAAAACAGGAGAAATGCACTATGCTGGACCATGGCACACTAGTGATGGAGAAGAACGAGAAGAAAAAGGTACTTTGGGAGCAAATCAAACAGAACCGAGAAGAAAACGAATTTGAAAAAGAACTACAAGATATACTAGAGGAATACATCGGTACGTTTGCAGTGAACGATAAGGAGCTAAAGCAAACTGACTTGGTCAGGATGAAAGTAGAAACAGGAGATCATGAGCCTATCAAACTCAAAATATGACCAGTCCTGTCGCGGCTCCGCGATGCGAGCGCTCCTAGAAGTAGGAGGCCGGGAGCACTGGTTGCTGCCGCGCTACACGGCGGCGATAACGGCACTTTCTTATCGCTGCAATCGCCGCTGGACCTCTTCTCGCCTTGGCGCGTTGCCAGCCAAAAGGCTATATATAGCGGCGGCGCCTCATTGCAGCGTCTGTTCGCTTTCGTTTTCGATCGATAATCTTTTCGTATGTTTTCCATTGTGCTCGTGCCTGGCAGTTAGCTCCCGCTTTTGATGTTTTTTTTTGCGTTAGCGGTCGAGCGGATCGGAAGTTGTACTGGATTGTAATTCAAGACGGATTTGGGATTATTTCGGGCGAGCCAGTTTTGGAGCTTTGAGATTTGGGATATTCAAGATCTTGTAAACTTCGGGAGCGGAGAGGTGTCGCGCCTGGTATCCGGCGACGCGCGGCGGATCTGTATAGGTGAAGCCTCGGGAGCATAGTTCCTTTTTGTGTACCGTCTGCACCCCAGAGAGGTTCCCATGTGAGCCAGCGTGCGTACGTGGTGCGACGCTGCCTTTCGCTGTTTTTGACACGTTTTTCCCGAGATTTCAACGGAAGTGCCTGAGGTTAACACGTTCAAAAGTGCGAAAGGCAGCGAGATGACGTGGTACCTATGAGAACCTCTCTGGGGCGCAGACGATACATAGTCGTGCGCATCGGTAGCACGGAATGGGGCTCCCTGTCCTGTGTTGGGGTTTTTCTTTATTTGTAGCTTAGTATTGTAGCGTAGCGTCTGTTTGTTTCCTTTTATGTCATAAGGATAAAATGTTAGTAATTTAATCGTCTCTTCACGCGCTATGGCAAAATAATAGGCTAGGTCGCGTCGCATGTATTAAGCGGGCGAGCGCTTAGGTAACTCGGGTTAGATCTAGGTGCTTAGAGCCCACCGAGCCGCCACATGGTGCATCGTCGCCGAGCGCATGGTGGATGCGGTTTTCCGTCCGCGTGTAGTGTTGGGTAGTCGCGTTGCTAAGTCGCGATGGGTAGGTAACATCTCAGCAGGTTTTCGCGCAGTAGTAGCGCAGTTTCTAACTATTCCATCCTCCATGCGTGCGTAACGATCCCGTAGTCTACCACGCTCCGCACCTAGTTTAAGTCCAGGCAAGTAGAGGGATAGGGCATGCGTTTAGTCGCGTCATCTAGGTGTTAGGTAACCCATTAGCACTGCAGCCTTGAGCGTAGTCAGCGCGTGGGGTGACCTAGCAGTAGTTGGTGGCAGCAGCTTACAGCTATAAGCCCTGAGCTCAGCGCGTTGTCTCGCGCAAGGATGGGTATGACAGTAGACTCTTAGAAGCCTATCTGCGAGTACGATATGGACTAGCTGTACGGAGACTCATCGCCGGGGGGCAATCTCTTGGGGGCACGCCGGGGGGCACCAGGAGTCGCAGCGATTGCCATGTCGTCCTTTCAGGTAGTCTTTTCTGGTATGCAGCTGTTTGCTTTGCTCTTGCGTTATTCGCGCATTGCAACGGCGTGCGATTCTGCCCTTGCTTGACAACCCTATCTGACTCTTGCCTTTGCGCCTGCTACGAAGCCTAGCGTGTTGATCGGTGGTGTGTCCCTCTTTAAGGTTTTTAGATTAGGTTCCTCATGTATACGTATTTATTCATTTCATGTACTCGTTATATCTATGTATATTACCTTGCGCCTGTCTTTTGCATTGCAGAAATGTCGCTCCTTGGATCCCACAAGGCTCAGCTCACCAAAGCAGCCAATATTCTACGCAAGAAGATCGCGGAAGTGGAACAGACCAACCTGGAAAGTGAAAGCCTTACCTTCGATGCAGGCAAGGGTTACGATTTCGTCATCAGTCGTAAAACTTTCCTTTCCGATTGTATTTCTTCTATTAGTTGCACTGCTTCTTATTTACGTGCTAAGCTGGAGAAAGCTGAGGAGTTTGCTTGTTCGAGGCCTGACGAGCAGGGAGAATTCCCCTTTTTCATTGAGATATACGCGCATTGGGAAGCCAGTGATATGGCGGATCTCTTGGTGGAAGCGGATATTCTGCTTGAACGTTTGGACAACAAGATCAAACTCCTCCCGAACGCGGATATGCTGTACGAACGTCATCTTTCGTCGATTGCTTCCACCCAGCTTATCCTTAATCCCGCATCGTCCCCCTCTTCTTCAGATACTGTTCAACCCCAAGCGCCCGCTCAACCCGCGCACGTTCCTTTTCCCCAGGATCGTCCATCGGATCCTTCTTCAGTTGCGCCGGTTGACCACCATCCCCTCGCAAGTGACGCAGGGACCCCTCAGCAGGGAGACCAGTGTCCACGAGCCCCATCTGGATTTGGCAATCCCCTTCTTACCCGTTCTCCTGCTCAGACGAGCATGCACCCTTTTGGATCCCAAACCCCTCTGCCGAATCCAGCTCCAAAACCTTCATTTGCATCGACCAGCGGTCCATCTTCGTCTACCTCGTATAGCCTGCGTTCCTTCGAGATACCGTTCTTTTCCGGTGACATGGACGCGTTTCATGAGTTCTGGAACATCTTCGCCGCGTCAGCACACAATAACAGCAGTGTACTTGTACCTGTTGAGTTCATGTATCTGAAGACGCACTTGAAAGGAGACGCAGCTAACATCATTGCGAACTTCCAACCCACTGAGGAGAATTATGAAGACGCAGTGCGTACCATCATCAGCACCTACGATCGACCAGAACATCTGCGAATGCGTCTCTGGGACAAGCTCAACAAGCAAGCGCCCGCAAAGGATTCTGCGGCTTCACAGCGCGCTACGCTTGGTCCCATCAGAGCTATCTGGTCCCAGATGAAGCGCTTTAAGGAAAAATCGTCGACAGGTGCACTGAATATGATTCGATCGAAGTTCCCCCGACGTACGCGCGAGAAGGTTGGCGAGATGAAGAAGAAAGAAGATCAAATGTGGACGGTTGACGATCTACTGACAGCATTCGATACAGTCATCGACAGGCTGCAAGTAGTTGAAGACGCCGATCCTACTCCTTATGCCATCTGCCATCTTCCGGTTCTACTGTCCACCAAACCTCCTCTTCGCCGCGCAGGTACTCTAGTGACAGGCCGCAGCAGGTTATGTCTTCGCAGTGCCAACCATCGATTTGTCCCACCTGCTCGCGTCCTTTGTGTTCGCCGTCGGAGTATCGCACGGCTAGAAGCAGATCACCAACACCATACTACCCGCGACGCTCATCTCGTAGTCCAGCACGACCGCAACGCCGCGCTTACCAGAGTTACTGCTGTGCCTTTTGTCTAATCGAAGGACATCGACCGGAGGACTGTTTGGAGGTCCCTTATCCTACACAGCGGAGAACCATCGTTAAGCAAGAAGGTCTGTGTTGGTTGTGTTTAGATGACGGTCACTTTGCCAGTGTCTGTTCAGCACCTCCGTGCGCATACTACAGCAGAACCCACCATCCAGCATTGTGCCTCAACAGACCGCGAGCGTCTAAAGCTTTTACTCCAACGACAAGTTTCCATCGTCGACCCATTTCGCCCAAGCGCGTGCACTTCGACATTGAAGCTCAAACCTCTTCGGATCGTGCGCTTCAGAGATCACGCTCGTCTTCACCACGCGCTAGTGCCCGTAAGTCGCTTTCACCACCCAGGCGCCAGAGCTCACAGGTTGCAGACGTGCAAAAGAGCATCCAGGATAGTCAGAGTGACCACTAACGTAGGAACTTATTCAAAATTTTGCACTTTTTGTCTTTTATGTACAATTTCTTTGCGACTTTTTCAGTATTTCATTTCCTTTTTTGCTGTTTTGTAAAAACTCAGGTTCCTACGTGCGTGCCTGTCCTTCCGTCCTGCATATGTTGTAACGTCGCACGAAACTGTTTGAGTCCCGTACCATCTGGACTGACGCTTGGCCAATCATGTTGCGTTACCTAGCGAGGAAGATGCAAGTACGAATTTTGGTTCTATTTTTCCATTTTTAAACATTTTTCAGTTGCAATTTCCCTTTGTTTACATGTTTTGGCTCCCAACTTGAACTTGCCGCGCCTAACTTTTGTCACCGCCATCCGCAACCCTTGCGCCAGCCAGTTATGTTGCACGCATATCAGGCCGCTTGCCTTGCGACGGTCCATCTGGGTCGCGGGAGGCTGAACTGACGTCCATTTTGTGTTTTTTTGCGTTGCATAGCTGCTTTTTTGCTGTAATGGCGGCGAAAGTTGCATTTTGTTAGGCATTATGCTTAGCCCCACACCATCGGGGAGGAAATCTACACCTTGCGCTCTTGAGTTCCAACAAGTCGCGTTCGCGCGCGCTCGTGTTTTCTTTCAAAGCTGCAGGTATTAGAACGTGGAAGGGTTAGTGACTGCTATGGCAGAATACCACTGACGACGGACTTCGATCGGCAAGCATTGTTCCCTCTATCTTCTTTTGGCCCCGTAAAGTTCATGTGTTACAGTACTACACCAACTTGGTCGCACGTTTGGCTTACTGAATCTATATTGTTTGTCGTCTGCCTCAACAACATCCTGGCATTGGTTCTCGTTAGTACGAGCAGCAGCTTACTACGTTATTATAACTCGACCTTGTTCTTGATTTTGTGGTTTTTTTATTGTTGTTTGACGGATGCGCCTTGTGCGCTTGAATGATGTTTGTTGGTGAACACGGGACGGGTTAGTGTCAATCCATTTACTTTTGTCGCGCTCTTACTGTGCTACATGGATACTTTTTCAATACTCTTTTTTATTCTATCATTCAAAAATTTCGGCTAAAGGCATTAACCGCAGATCCCCGGTGCTATCACGTAACCACCTCTCGAACGCCCAAGCCCACTGATTCTGGGGGGAGTGTCGCGGCTCCGCGATGCGAGCGCTCCTAGAAGTAGGAGGCCGCGAGCACCGGTTGCTGCCGCGCTACACGGCGGAGATAACGGCACTTTCTTACGTTCGCCGCAATCGCCGCTGGACCTCTCCTCGCCTTGGCGCGTTGCCAGCCAAAAGGCTATATATAGCGGCGGCGCCTCATTGCAGCGGTTCGCTTTCGTTTTCGATCGATAATCTTTTCGTATGTTTTCCATTGTGCTCGTGCCTGGCAGTTAGCTCCCGCTTTTGATGTTTTTTTTTTGCGTTAGCGGCCGAGCGGATCGGAAGCTGTACTGGATTGTAATTCAAGACGGATTTGGGATTATTTCGGACGAGCCAGTTTTGGAGTTTTGAGATTTGGGATATTCAAGATCTTGTAAACTTCGGGAGCGGAGAGGTGTCGCGCCTGGTATCCGGCGACGCGCGGCGGATCTGTATAGGTGAAGCCTCGGGAGCATAGTTCCTTTTTGTGTACCGTCTGCACCCCAGAGAGGTTCCCATGTGAGCCAGCGTGCGTACGTGGTGCGACGCTGCCTTTCGCTGTTTTTGACACTTTTTCCTGAGATTTCAACGGAAGTGCCTGAGGTTAACACGTTCAAAAGTGCGAAAGGCAGCGAGATGACGTGGTACCTATGGGAACCTCTCTGGGGCGCAGACGATACATAGTCGTGCGCATCGGTAGCACGGAATGGGGCTCCCTGTCCTGTGTTGGGGTTTTTCTTTATTTGTAGCTTAGTATTGTAGCGTAGCGTCTGTTTGTTTCCTTTTATGTCATAAGGATAAAATGTTAGTAATTTAATCGTCTCTTCACGCGCTATGGCAAAATAATAGGCTAGGTCGCGTCGCATGTATTAAGCGGGCGAGCGCTTAGGTAACTCGGGTTAGATCTAGGTGCTTAGAGCCCACCGAGCCGTCACAAGTCCCATTAGGAGTTCGCTCCAAATTGAGAGAAATGTTGAGGGATCTGGGACAACGAAAAATAGTTGAGAAAAGCTCAGATTGGGCATTCCCCATAGTCCTGATTCAGAAGGACGCAGGGATACGGCTTTGCGTCGACTATGAGAGCTGAATAAGTGCGCCCGACGGGATTCGTATCCCTTACTTACAATCGACGCGATTTTGCAAAGTTTAGCGGACAAAAAGTGTTTTACCACCCTTGACTTATTCAGTGGTTACTGGCAAATCCCTCTGGATGAGCAGACAAAACATAAGTCTGCCCTCACAACGCCAGAAGGACTTTTCTAATTTAAAGTGACCCCATTCAAACTGAGCACTAGTCCGGCAACATTCCAGCGATTGATGGATAATGTTCTAGAAGGGCTTCTGGGAGTCGAAGTGTTTTGCTATATAGACGATGTCATAATCTGCACGGAAACAATGGGTCGACACATAGAACTGCTCCGAGAGATTTGCGAACGATTGAGAAGTGCAGGACTCATGCTGAACGCCAGGAAATGTGTTCTACTGCAAAGATCGGTCTCTTTTCTAGGACACATTATTGATGGGGAGGGGGTACATTTGGACAAAAGAAAAGTTGAAGCAATTTTGAACTATCCAGTTCCTAGGAATGGAAAGGAAATGAGAAGCTTTTTGGGAATAGCATCGTTTTACAGGAAGTTTTGTTCAAACTTCTCAAAGATCGCTGCGCCCCTTTTCGAGCTAACCTCAGCGAAGGCAGAATGGAAGTGGGAGGAAAAACAAAAGGAGGCTTTTGAAAGAATGAAACAAATAATTTCAACAGCACCAGTGTTGACGCAACCTAATATAGAGGAGACCCGAAGCGGCAGAAGGCCTTTCATCATATTCGCAGACGCGTCTACGTCAGGACTAGGAGCAGTCTTGTCACAAGAAGGAGAAGACAAATAGATTTATCCAATATTTTTTTGCTTCCAAAACGCTCACAAAAGCGTAAAAGAGATATCACATAACGGACCTCGAATCACTGGGTGTAGTATTCGCAGTCAGGAGATTCCACATGTTTATTTACGGAATACCAACTGCAGTGAGAACCGATCACCAACCTTTGCTGGCCTTATTCAAGAGAAAAAATCTGTCCGCACGCATTTTGCGATGGGCACTCGAACTGCAACGGTACAAGCTGCAGATCGAGTACTGAAAGGAAAAGCGAATGTAGCAGCAGATGCACTCAGCGGAGGGCCAGTAAAAGAGGAAAGAAACACTGATGAAGATGGGGTTGAACAGAACCCCGTTGTGTGTGTCACACAGGCCAAAACAGAGTCAGCATAGCTAAAAGAGCTAAAAGACCAGAAGGAATGGGCCCGGATAATCAAAAATGTACAAAATCAAAACTCGACCACACGGCTAAAGTTCCCGGAATGAAAGGGCCCATGAAAATAGCAGATTTTGTCATAGACGGAGGAAACCTCAAAATGTACAGAGAAGATGGATCATTAGTATACGTAGTACCGAAAAGCGCACAATACAAAGTTTTTAAAGAAGCGCACGGAGGAACTTTAGCTGGCCATTTCAGTGCTCACAAGGTACTGAACAGGTTGAAAAAAGAAGTATTTTGGCCGGAAATGGCAAAAGATATCAACAAATGGACCTCGGAATGCCAAAGGTGTTTTCTCAGCAATCCTGCGACAGTAGTAGTACCAGACTTGAAACCCATTCGAATGACAAAGCCCTTTGAAGTAGTAGATGTGGACCTGCTGGAGCTACGTATAACAGCAAGCAACAGATATGCAATAACGGTAATAGACCATTTCTCAAAACTCGCAGCGGCCTACGCAGTAGCTGGTAAGTCGGCGGAAACGGTAGCGAAAGTTTTGTTCCTAAGGTGAATTGCCGGCGGGTGTAGATTATAGTTGGAACCAAATATTCGTGTTCGAATAATTTATTCGAAATATTCGACTATTCGAATATTCGATTATTCGAATATTGAATGAATGAAGAAGGTCTTTATTCGAATAATTCGTTCATTCGACGATTTGGAAAAATGGCTTATTCGAATATTCGAATATTCGAAGAGTTTCAGAAGACAGTTATTCGAATATTCGATCATTCGAAAAGTTTTGAAAACCGCTGTTCGAATATTCGATTATTCGACAATTACTTCCAAACATTCGAATATTCCACGCCAATATTCGAATATTGCATTCGAATACTCGATGATATTCGGTTATTAGATTATTCGAGTAGTCGAATATTCGATCAAGTTCAGTTATTCGAATATTCGTTCACTCGAATTTTGGAATGTGACCGTATTCGAATATTCGAATTCGAATAATATTGATCGGAAATCGAATAATATTCGTTCATTCGAAAAATTTTCGAACAATCCGCGTGAAAACGGGATCACAGAAAGGTTAAATGGAACAATAGTGGCAATGTTGAGAAAAATAACGAATGTACCCACAGAATGGAACCAAAAGCTACCATTCTGCATGCTAGCATATAATATGACCCCCACAGGGCAAGA